CTAGCCTATCTACCATGAGAATATGAGCGAAATCGAATTTTCGACCCTTGCCGAGTTATTTTCCATTTTTATGGACAGGGACTCTTAATACATTAGGTGTATGTCTTGCGGTAAAGATAGCCTTGAAAAGATTTACATTGTTTACATCCTCTGCCTAAGATACCTCAAAAGGTTCATTTTTGGTTTGGTTTAAGGGACCATGAATTTTAGAGTATGTTCGTTTAATAATATCTTTCCTGAGCCGTACTCTCGAGTTGTAGCAGAAAGTAGCACAAATCAGCACACGTGTGTAGAGAAGACACAGGTAATAAGAGCTCATCTGTAACAACTGCCATTCACTTAGGAACTGCCGCTTAAATTTGTTTGGATGCTTTACAGCTTAGGGTCTTGTTGCCATTTGTAATTTGCAGGGCGAGACAGTGACACTGGTGTTGGTAGTGGTGATGGAATTCGTGCTCTTCGGACCAAAATTATGGATGTTTTGAGGGAGGAGCCATACATGGGGGAGAGGATACCAGTCAAGTAAAGTGATATCGCAAGAGGAAGAGATCTTCACACCTTTGCGATAACAACCGTTGCACAAGAGGCCTGTAAAAAGGATTCAATTGCTATGATCTCCCACTGAGACCTTTTTGGGTTTCTTTGCAACTAAATTGGTGGTGAATGTCTCTTTCCTTTTATGTATTTCATTTTTGTTCTTCCGTGCACTTCGTAGTTCTACACAGGGGTAGTGTAGTATATTTAGGGTCTGTCTATCTGTCTGTTTATCTGACATCATTTTATCACATTAGCACAACTAGTGTTTCCATTTTCCCTCAATCTTTTCATTACTTTGCACTGACCGTACTTTCTCGGTTAAACGCCGTGGCGTTCATTTCAAACTTGGACTTGTACGTAGACCCGACATTTAGTTTTTGCTGCATTTTTTTAGCCTTGAGTTTATTAGCAAGGGATTTTGTTTGTCATTTTGGACAGCCATGTATTTAGCCATTATAGCTTAACCCAGAGAACCGACATTTAATACAGAAAATATGATACTATTCTTGGAAAGAGGTTTTGGAAGGTATATATTTTAATGCAACTACATTCGTTGAAATATCGAGGATATTATTTAGGCTATATAAGTGGAGAGAAGCAAGGAAATGCTCTCCAATGAGTTTATTAAAGAAGAATTGCGTGTTCTTATCGAGAAACTAGGATTTTTGACGAGCCATGTCTTACATTTGATTAAACTTAAAATTTCTATGAAGTATTACATGGAGATTTTTTGTGTACTTTCTTTCGAATTTTACAGGGAAAATATCCGTAAAAATCTTTCGATGGGAATTTTCCATTTATA